GCACAAGTATAACCTGGAGATCCATTTCCCCAGCCATGGCTTAGTTGACTCTCGAGTCTTTCCAAACTTATCTCTTCGTAATCTCTAGTCTTAAGTTATGTTTCAATTACTGCCCCAAAACATAACATGTAATGAAAAAAGATAGAAAAATCCATTTCATAGCCAAGAATTGCGTTCATATTAACTGTAATACCAGTGAAGAGAGACTGAGAATTCATTATAATATTTATTTCCTGCTATCCATTCACCCGCCGATACTACTGTCAGAATATTCTTAGTCTTGAGTTTTATTTGTGTTTCGTCTTACTATTCATACATAAAGTAGTGAATTCCTGGTCTTTCTCTCATAGTATGTGCGAAATAAATAAAACCAATTATTATATTATTATTTGTTGTCATCATCTCATCCACTTTAGGCTTTATTTTATTACCGATCGATATATAAAAAAGCAAAATATTGTGAAAACTTTATTCATTTAGCGAATTCCGGAGACACTAATCACAACATTTATTGACTGCAATCATAATAATACAGTAATAATGAGTACTTATAATATAAGACTTATTTGCAGTGCCTGTCGTTAATCCCATTGAATGAGTTTTAAAGAAAAAAATATATGTTTTGCAAATATTTTGGACTAAATTAGTGAATAAAATTCAAATTTCATTCAATTTTTTTCCAATCGATTCACTGAATCCGAGAGAGACCTTATGTTTACTTAATTTATTTCTAGTACCAGTATTTGTTTTTATTTAATATTTTGGACTAAATTAGTGAATAAAATTCAAATTTCATTCAATTTTTTTCCAATCGATTCACTGAATCCGAGAGAGACCTTATGTTTACTTAATTTATTTCTAGTACCAGTATTTGTTTTTATTTTTTATTAATTAGCAAGTTTCTTATATTATTTTTGTTGCTGTTAATTACCGGCTATTTACACCCATTATAATCATAAAAACAATTTTAACGTTAAAGTTTTCTTATAAATTAAATACACATCTTTTGTTTAGAAAATAAAAATAAAAATCATTATCTGAATAGAATAATAAATTTAGAAAATTACAATACATGCTCAGTATTGAATAAAATGCTCATAACTTTAAAACAAATGCATATTTTGCATATAAAAGCGACGTATAATTTAAATAAAAATGCATTAAAATGTTTTGTGTTTTACTAAATTGTAATTCTTATAACGGGGTTAAGAAAACGCGATTTTCATTAATGACTACAAATTATATGCAAAACAGTTTTGTTCATCGACAAACTTATTAAAATGTTACTAAAAATTATGTTCAAATTTACATAAGAATCGTTTGAAACAAAACAAAAAAGATTGTAAATTATTTTACGAGACAAAAGGCACGCAAATCCTCGCATAATATTAAAATATAAAACCATTTCTATTAAATCATATAAATTCACTCAAAAAACATCAAATCTCGTTGAAACTTGTATTAAAATTAAGATTTATATGACTTTATTTCAAATTATTAACCCAAACCCTGTATAAAAAACTACTAATTATTAATTACTAGTGTGAATATCCTATGTATGTGTGTTAATAACTCATTGCACCGGCATCATCCCCTTACAATCTGCCAGTAAATAACTCATATTATATGACATTTTAAAATATTAGCAAAAAAATTCGTATAAAAAGAGGAAAATTTAATTAATATTTTCTCATCTCATATATGAATAGAGAGATCACGAGGAAGAAAATGGAGGAAAGAGAGCGTCAGTGGGAGGAAGAGCTCCAGAAAGTTATTAACGACTGATTATAAACAGGATCATCACTCGCGTGGGGGCCATACATCCAGTTCCCCTCCAATTATCAGTCAATTGTCTCTGGAGAAAATACTTGTTGTATTGAATGTTTTGTCTATGGAAACAAATATGAACTTGTAATATTTAAAATATAAATTATACTCGATGTTAATATCGTTAAACATGTTATATGTATTCAAATGACATGATAATTGTGTTGATAAACAACATACACGTATCAAGCATATGATAATCTTTCACTTAGATTTAAAAACAAGTGAATTACTCTAATGATTATAATTATAACTATAAGGTGTGATAGTTATTAATGTAAAGATGATTTTAATCATACGATAAAACCATATACGAGAATAATATGTCGCTTCCGATGACTTTAAGGACAACACAATATTTACAGTAAATCCGAGACGATTAACAATAAACACTGAATTGTTTTATATATGTTTCACAACAAATATATTAATAAAATAAATTAATACCTGATCAGTAGTCTATAAGTAACATAAAAAGTAATAGCCTTTTTTGATAACAGGTATTTTGGAAAAAAACAATAATAATAATTTCATATTTCTTATAACGAATAATCTTATGATTTTAAAAACTAATTGAAATAATTTTGCGAGCTTTGTAATAAGCAATTGTTTATTAAGTTTTTATTTTGGACTCGAAAATAAAAACAAATACTGGTACTAGAAATAAATTAAGTAAACATAAGGTCTCTCTCGGATTCAGTGAATCGATTGGAAAAAAATTGAATGAAATTTGAATTTTATTCACTAATTTAGTCCAAAATATGTGCAAAACATTTATTTTTTCTTTAAAACTCATTCAATGGGATTAACGACAGGCACTGTAAAAAAAGTCTTACATTATAAGTACTCATTATTACAGTACTATATTATTATGATTGCAGTCAATAAATGTTGTGATTAGTGTCTCCGGAATTCGCTAAATGAATAAAGTTTTCACAATATTTTGCTTTTTTATATATCGATCGGTAATAAAATAAAGCCCAAAGTGGATGAGATGATGACAACAAATAATAATATAATAATTGGTTTTATTTATTTCGCACATACTATGAGAGAAAGAGACCAGGAATTCACTACTTTATGTATGAATAGTAAGACGAAACACAAATAAAACTCAAGACTAAGAATATTCTGACAGTAGTATCGGTGGGCGAATGGATAGCAGGAAATAAATATTATAATGAATTCTCAGTCTCTCTCTTCACTGGTATTACAGTTAATATGAACGCAATTCTCGGCTAAGAAATGGATTTTTCTATCTTTTTTCATTACATGTTATGTTTTGGGGCAGTAATTGAAACATAACTTAAGACTAGAGATTACGAAGAGATAAGTTTGGAAAGACTCGAGAGTCAACTAAGCCATGGCTAGAAATGGATTTTTCTATCTTTTTTCATTACATGTTATGTTTTGGGGCAGTAATTGAAACATAACTTAAGACTAGAGATTACGAAGAGATAAGTTTGGAAAGACTCGAGAGTCAACTAAGCCATGGCTGGGGAAATGGATCTCCAGGTTATACTTGTGCTGGGAGTGAATATCTACTAAAACATGAGATTTAGTAATATTTAATTTGAATACCAACTCAAAAGTCTACTTAACGTCGGAATGAGTTATACAAGAATTATATGACACATACTATAAGACACAACCGTTTGTTACATAATCACATTCGCGGCACAGGTATCACTCTTATGTCTATAATTAATGACAACTTCCCACTCAATTATGGTGCAAATGAACTGCAACCCTATGTTCACCTAATTAATACTCAACCCTAAACCTCCCACACCAGACAACGCCAATAAGGGTGGACACGCGATATGGACACACCATTCATCATAGGAACACCTCCTAGCTAAGTTACACACAGACACACACACACACACACACATGTATATCACGTGAATATCACCTACTTTTCTCTGTTGTAGACAATGAACTGGTGGCGTATGGTGTCCAGGCACTTCTCCACGGCCGTCATGCCCTCGTCGGCTGACGGCCCGGACTCGGAGTACAGCGAACTGTTCTGGCGCTCAACGGTGGCCACCCGTCGCATACTCTGCTGCTTCTGGAGTCGCTTCTTCTTCTTGTGCAACGGATTCGCTTCGATGATCATCTCTTCCAACTCGAAGGTGGGGTCGCAGTTGAGCTGATCCTTGGGCGGCACAAAGGTGGGCACCTCCTCCCGGCGGAGTACGGCGTCGAAGTCGAGCGTGGCGTAGGCCGAGCACCGTTTCATGTCGGCCACCGTCTGGATCCGGGCGTCGGGCGCCGTGTTTAGCAGCCTCTGTATGAGGTGCTGACAGGCGTGGCTGATGTGCGCCGGGAATGGAGGGAACTCCTTGCGCTGCATCGCCAGCACCTCAGCCAACGGTGTGGTCGAGTGGATGTCGTACGGCCGCTGACCGCACAGCATCTCATAGCCGCAGCAGCCCAACGACCACCAGTCCGCCTATGTATGATGAGGTGGAAAGGGAGGGGTGGGCATCAGTGAGTGAGTGATTGATTGGGTGTATAGTGTATTCGTGTGTTTGTATTATGATTACCCACCGATTAAGCACTGCATGAAGTGTTTGGAAACGCGAGTAATAATGTCTAATAATAATAATGGACTCACTTTTGTGAGTGTGTTTGCCTTAATACTGTTTGCTTCCCTTATAATCAAGTTATACGACAGAATAGAGTGTAGGATAGTGTACACAGAATATTCTGGTGTATTTGTACCACTATTGACATTCATTCCCTATGACTGTCTATTGTGGGCAACAGCTCTCTCTCTCTCTCTCTCGCTGTGACATCGACTGTAATTTCCACGAAATATATGACATTATTATCGCATCTCCTTATGATCTCTACTCCCTATCCTTTATATCTACATTACTATATTAACGGTGTATTCCGTTATATAACTCTTATTAACTCTCGTATATACGGTGCAATCATTTATTTTCATCAAAAAACTTCCAAACAATAAAAATGTAAGAATAAAATAATTTTCTCGATTCCTTGCCATAAGATAGAAAATTCTGTGTGTAATAAAAATTAATTCTCTCTCTCTCTCTCTCTCTCTCTCACTCACTCTCTCTCCCCTCTATAACATATAGCTCACTCTAATGGTATAAAACTTTTATACGAGTTCTCTATAATCTAGAAAAACTTCATTGTTTTCTCTGTGCGCTATTATTAAGTCTCGGCGTTTGTGTACACTATTGTCGCCCACAAACACATCGTAAGAATGCCATTACATTGTAATACAAATTATAAATAATTTATAACTACACAGAATATTCTTACGCTATTATATAAACAACATTATACTTACGGGGAATGAATAGCCGGTGTTGTAGTCGAGCGCACATTCAAACACTTCGGGCGCTATTCAGTAAATCAAATACATAGAGATATAGAAATACATACAATTCATATAATAAATAATTATA